GCACCAAGAATATACAAAGCAGGCCCAGCTGGTGTGGCTCAGTGGTTGAGCATCAACCTATGAACCAGGAGATCACCATTCGATTCCCAGTCAGGGCACATGCCCGGGTTTTAGGCTCGCCCCCCAGTAGGGGATGTGCAGGAGGCAGCCGATCAATGATTCCCCCTCATCATGGATGTTTCTCTCTCTCCTCTCTCCTCCCTTCCTCTCTGAAATTAAAAAATGTATTTTTTTAAAAAATGGTTCCTTCTCACAATTTGTATTGATACGTAGGAAATATGGTTAATCAGCAGGCCCATCTCCTTTATGACACTGGTCGTAGTTATAAAGTATCAAAATAAAAAGTATAAACATGAGAAATGTAATCAATTTTGGCCACTATTCTAGAAAGTCATTCTGTAATGACTAAATAGTCAAAAATTATGGCATCACTTGGTTTTTGAGTTAAGAAGATAGAAGCTCTCCAACCCATTGTGTAATTATAAAACTTTGGAGACTAACTACTTGGACTTCCCAGCTGATGCCTTATTTTTACCTAACACGGACAGAAAAGCTTCCATCTGGCCCTTGAAAATATATGATTATTACTATTTGGGGGGGGGGGGCAGAGGCACTTAATAGCCAAGGGGCCTTATGTAAAAGGAACTGGAAAAGGAAATAAACCATTGTAACAACTGGGCCATGATTATGCAAGATTCAACATACTACAAGAGAGAGGTGTTCCAAACCCCTTTCTCCTTTCAAGGTGACCAACTGACCTTGGGTTAGCTTTCTAGCTCGGTTGCCCCTGGAAACCTGATGAAGATGGACCATCAGCTGTGGGACCAGGGGAAATTGATTCAGGTAACATGCCCAGGGTAGTACCTTGTGTCCAAGCCAGGAGGGCTGTCAGTGGTCGTAAACACTTGCTGGGAGCCACAGCTCTGGCTTCCCAGTGCGGTGCACCTGTTGTCCCTGGGGCCTGTCCCTGGCCAGGACATGGGGATGCTATGCACGGGGGATTTTTCCAGGAGGTAGTGGTCCCTTCGGGCTCCTAAGCCTGGGGCTCCTGCACCCATCTGTGTAGTTTATGAGGACTGCTGCCATAATTCCCACAGGACTGTGCCTAAAGCTGCCCCCTGGCATGGTGTCTTGCCTGTCTCGTGTCCTTCAGAGTAAACTAGTGTCAGACATGGCCTATTCAGGCCCTGGGAGTTTATATGTGTAGCTGTGATGGGTGTTGTGCATGCACTTGGCAGTGTCTTCAGAGATGGCACAATCCCACATTAATACCAAATAGGCACAGGCATGGCTATCAAAAGGGTATGAGATTAGAACCAACCAAGATAAGTAAACCTTTAAGAAATGGCTTTAGACCCTTAAAGGTACCATTGAAGATTAGAGCAGAGAACAGCAAACATACAAAGGAGAGTATTCATTCATTAGAAGGTGTTGGTGGTATAGTGGTGAGCATAGCTGCCTCCATTCATTAAAGGATTGAACTTAAGTCAACACTTTTACCAAATTTAGTCATAAAGGAGCAAGGCATCATGGTATAAAGGGGGGAAATTCAGGAGCTGGATCTGACTGGCTATGCAGCTTTGGATAAGGCCATCCATGTTTGTATGGCACAGGGTACGCAGTGGGAATGAACTGTGCTTTCCATCAGCCCCTGCTGTTGCTTCTGACAAAACTACTCTGTGAACCCCAGAAAATAAAATGCTACAATCGTTAACACCATAATTATATTTTTGGTAATCTAATCTCAGGGGGAAAAAATCTTAAATACAAGAAAAAGCCCTATGTAAAAATGTAAAGTGAATTCTTTGTTACTTAAATAGAGAAAACAATTTAAAGCCACCCAAATGTCTGTGAATCAGTCTACTACATTAGACTTCTACTACAAAACTAGTATGTTAATGTAATAGCACTATATAAGTAAATTCCATGTTAAGTAAAGAATGGATAAAAGTCACAGAAAAAAATTGTTATTTTTAGAAAGCTATGCATAGAAAAAGAAATGGAAGACAGAATGTTAAGGGAGACTACAAGTCAAACTTAAAATCTTTTCCCTCCATTTTCTAAAACAAACCTTGGTTTTATCATGCAAAAATCATTAAATTTCAGTTACATGTCCAACATATTTGTTACCCAGTATCAAGTTTTATAGTTAATCCTTTTCCCATATCTTCTCTAGATATATTATACTACTATTCTGATTAAGCTTGAAAATATATCAAGTCAAGTTGGCTATGTTAATTCTGAAAATGTAAACCATTATATGAGAAATGATCTGGCTGAGGCAGAATTTTTTTTAAAATATATTTTATTGATTTTTTACAGAGAGGAAGGGAGAGAGATAGAGAGTTAGAAACATTGATGAGAGAGAAACATCGATCAGCTGCCTCCTGCACAACTCCCACTGGGGATGCGCCTGCAACCAAGGTACATGCCCTTGACCAGAATCGAACCTGGGACGTTTCAGTCCGCAGGCCGACGCTCTATCCACTGAGCCAAACCAGTTTCGGCAAGAATTTAAATATCTTTCTTTTATGTAATTATCAGAGCCTAACACCATTCCTCAACATACTGGGTGTGTATATATATATTTCTAAAAAGCTGTCTCTCTTCTTACTGCCTAGAATATCCAAAAATTCGTATTTCCATTTTCATGGACTTAAACTAAGAGAGAGCTGAGCAAATCATTCCATTACTAATAGTACCAAAAACATTTTGTACCAATATTCTTACCATAGTAAAGTTTGGGGGAAAGTAGCACTTTTGATATCGTAAGATGTTTATAAACCTCAAATTCTAAAGCATGGGAATTTAAAATTATGGAAGAAAAACTGACTCAAGGAACTTTGGTACCTTTCAGATGGAACTTCTCAATTGTTTGCTTATCTGCCATCCCTCCAAGGGGATTTTATATGTTTTTGTACAAACATCAGAAGTTCTTGAGACATGCAAGTTATATGTACAAGTAAATAAACTTTACGAGTATGTGAAAAGACCCATGTTAACTTGAGAATGACATGAAAAGGGTGTCATGCCAGTTTTTTTTTTTATATATATATTTTATTGATTTTTTACAGAGAGGAAGGGAGAGAGATAGAGAGTTAGAAACATCGATGAGAGAGAAACATCCATCAGCTGCCTCCTGCACATCTCCCACCGGGGATGTGCCCGCAACCCAGGTACATGCCCGACTGGAATCGAACCTGGGACCTCTCAGTCCGCAAGCCGACGCTCTATCCACTGAGCCAAACCGGTTTCGGCTCATGCCAGTTTTAACTTCACTGTTTTAATAACACGAAATACAAGTACAAAACATTGTACAAGTAAGTATACTTTTTACTACATGGAGATGGAAAAACACATTTGTGTTTTTACCAGAATCTGTATCACCCACTACTTACTATTCCTATGAGGTTTTAACATGAATAAAAAAAAACACACACAAAAAAACAAGTTGTTTCAACCGTTGTTTTTAATCTTAATATTTTTGTTCAGCTGCTTTGGAGAATGAAGAAATACAAAATCACCTTAGCCAAGAGTCTGAGTGGGTAATTTTGTTATTTCATATTGGCTGAAATCTCCCTTATGTTGGCATTGCAAAGACACTGTGCACTGACAGAGGACAGGAAAAAGTGTTGTCTTCACAGCCCTCTTAAAACTTAAGAAGGCAAATGACCATTTCCTGTAAAGTACAGAATATTATAATAAATAACAGCAACAGAGGACTATAAAGCCCCACATGTACTGAAGAAAAGCAAGTCTGCAAATATTTGAGAGTAACATCATATAATAAAGAAAAGGTAAACTGTGCTTAAGTGTCCAGAATTCAGCCTCTACAGCATACATCTGTTTTCAGCCATTTCAATTAAGACTTTTCTTAAAATAAACAAACAAAAACATGATGAAAGTAGCATTTACTTTGTTGGAAATGCAAATAAAAAGTAAAAAATACTGCTAATTACATAAAATATTTGGAATTAATTTTGTTTTCATAAATAAATAAAATGGTGTTGGTGATTATCTCTTTTTAAAGTTTTAATGATCATTCATACTGTTTAAAAAAACATTCAAATTAATGTCAACTTTTAAGAATAAACTTTGGAATATTTAAAAGATCATGTTTGGAAAAATGAACCACATTTTTCATTGCAAGAATTATGCTTTGTTCTTGGCGGAATCATCTTTGTTTCTTCTTTTTACGTCCCAATTATAAACCCTGGCCATATCTGCAAGAATTGTTAAAGAAAATGCAAGTGCAATTCTAAAGATAACATTTGTAATGACTGGGTATGCACAACACACTGAATCAAAGTCAGAAATCACACACACAAAATACTGGTGACAAGTAGTGTTGTGAGCCATCTTTTTTTTTTAATTGGTTTTTTACAGAGAGGAAGGGAGAGGGATAGAGAGTTAGAAACATCGATGAGAGAGAAACATCGATCAGCTGCCTCCTCCACACTCCTCACTGGGGATGTGCCCGCAACCAAGGTACTTGCCCTTGACCGGAATTGAACCCGGGACCCTTGAGTCCGCAGGCCGACGCTCTATCCACTGAGCCAAACCGGTCAGGGCATGAGCCATCTTGCTATAATATCATTTGCTATGAAAATACTGGAACTAAATTCCACCAAAATTAAGTCAAGGTGTCAAATCAGCAATTGTTTAGCATATTTAATCAATTATGGTATTATACTTAACATATATGTGCTTGACACTGTCAACACTTTTAAAGACAGCCCCTTATCCTGATATGTAATATTTAAATTAGTATAATTTAATTATCAATAATTTTACCTTTGCCCTTCCCCTTAATAGGTCATTCAATTTATTAAGCACCAAAAAAAAAATTATTAAGCACCTACATCTTTTCCTTTCCACAAGCAGCACCTGTGTAGGCCCTCACATATCAATTACAGTGGGGCCTTGACTTACGAGTGTCCCGACTAACGAGTTTTTTGAGATACCAGCTGTCTCTCGGCCGATTTTTTGCATTGAGTTGATAGAGTAATTTAACGAGCTCCTTAACGAGCTCGGTCTCGGAATGAATTAAACTTGTAAGTCAAGGCCCCACTGTACTTCTTCCATGGATAGTGACTTTGGTGTTGTATCCACAAAGTCAACATCATACTCAAGGTCATCTAGGTTTGCTCCTATGCTACCTTCTGGGAATTATACGGGTTATTTTTTTCTCCAAAGTCTTTACATTCAAGTCACACACCATCCCCGCTCTGGCCTCAAACAGGCCTGCCTTTCCTCACCCAAGCACTCAATGCTGCCAGGTGCTACATACTGTGGAGAAGAGAGAGAAAGTACAGCTTCTACACTTAAAGAACTCATAGTCTGACATGAAAAACAAATGAAGAACCATGTGCAAAGTGCTAAGTAAGCCCAGAGGAACAAAACACCCTGAGAGGGTCAGAAAATGTTCAGAAATGTTCTGATGCTTGTGCTGAAACATGAAGGATAAAAAGTAAGCCAGATATGCCCGGCCAGTGTGGCTCAGTGGTTGGGCATCGACCCATGAACCAGGAGGTCACGGTTCCATTCCCGGTCAGGGCACATGCCTGGGTGGTGGGCTCAATCCCCAGTGTGGAACGTGCAGGAGGCAGCCAATCAAAGATTCTCTCTCATCACTGATGTTTCTATCTCTCTCTCTCTCTCCCTCTCTCTTCCTTTCTGAAATCAATAAAACATTTTTTTAAAGTAACCCAGGTAAATAGGAGGAAATCATTCCAGGCAGGAGGAACAAAGTGAGGAAAAGCAAAGGGTGTGGCATTTTGGGGGAGGGCCAGGGCAGAAAGAGTCAGTGGCAGGAGGTAAGACTGATTGGTCTAAGAATAAGGACATTCTTCTCATTAAAGCAATGTAAGAAAGAACATTGTAAACATCTTTACCCTTTCCTCCCTTTGTTTCTTGTTAAGAAAGGATACTGACTTCAGTGGTAGTAAACTGATCTCGAAGAAAGTCAAGGTCTTCCTCAAGAGAATCCAGGTTCTTGGTGGCAGTTGTTAGATTCTTTTCCAACAATGCCTGAGCTTCATCGATATCATATTCAAGCATTACATTAGCCTGAGAGAAAGAGAGTCATGAGAATTACTAAACATTCACATAGTGCTTTACAGGTTAGAGCAGGGGCTGGGCGAAACCCAGCTGGCTGCCTTTTGTCTTAAGTTTTATTGGAACCCAGCTATTCTCCACGCACTTCTGCTTTCAGGCCAGTGTCAGAGCTGAGTAGTTGTGACAGTGACCAAGTGGTCTGCAAAACCAAAAACATTTACTCTCTGACCTTTTTTATAAGTTTATTGAGCCCTGGCTGGTTTTGCTCAGTGGATAGGCAGCCGTGGGCAAACTACGGCCCATGGGCCGGATCTGGCCCGTTTGAAATGAATAAAACTGAAAAAAAAAAAGACCGTACCCTTTTATGTAATGATGTTTACTTTGAATTTATATTAGTTCACACAAACACTCCATCCATGCTTTTGTTCCGGCCCTCCGGTCCAGTTTAAGAACCCATTGTGGCCCTCGAGTCAAAAAGTGTGCCCACCCCTGGGTTAGAGCATCAGTCCGCAGACCAAAGGGTCTCAGATTCAATCCCCAATCAAGGGCACATACATGGTTGCAAGTTTGACCCCGGCCCGATCAGGGTTGGGGTGTGTGCAGGAGGCAACCATTCAATGTGTCTCTCTTTCTCTCTCTTTCTCTCTCTCTTTCTCTCATTCTCTCTCTCACCCTCCCTCCCTTCCATTCTCTCTAAAAATCAGTGGGAAAATGGAAAAAATATCCTCAGGTGAGGATTAAAAAAAAAAGTTTATTGATCCCTGGGTTAGAGAATATATTTACATACATTATATCATTTACTCCTAGTAACAACCCTGGTAAGGCAAGTTATTTTCATCTTTACAGTTAAGAAAACAGGTTGAAATGTTAGGTTGCTTATGTTTGCATAGCTAGTAAGTAAATGGGAGAATTAGGGTAAATACCAATATGTTTAGATACCAAAACCTATCTTTCCATCATGACACTAAGTAGTGTTACATTTGAATCCCTTTAAATAGCTGTTTCTGAGGTTAAGATACAATAATTTAAAAGTTTTCCAATACATCTATGTTTGATTCAATAAGAAAAACAGCTAGCTTTTACTGTCCCCCTTCTACCGCCAACAGATGTTAGGGATGAAGGCAAGGTGACTGTGTCTGGGATTCTCAAGAGCTGGTGTTACTGCCGACACTTGGGGTGTGTGCACTGTGGAGGGGGAAACCATACCTTTTCCAGCTCCGAACTCCTCCTATCACCTGACTTACCACCAAGCATTTCCTGAACCACTTTCCTCATCGGATAAATGGAATTTTAAAATGACTCACAGGATTGCTGTAAGCATCAAATGAGACAACATGAAAGTGTTTGGCACAAAGTAGGTGCTGCAAAAATACCGACTAACGCAATCCGTAATTAGAAAACTGCATAAAAATTCAGATAATACATTTAAAAACACTTTATTTATGCTAGAAAGCATCAATTGTTCCTCAGGAAGTACCCTGTGCCAAGAATTTCTCCTCAATTGAGTCACTCCTCAAACACTGCCTTATCAGCCTCCGCACTTGACGCTCTAAATAGGCATCTAGGACGGACATGCCCAAAACACAACTCCTAGTCCCCCTCAAAACTCTTAGTGCTTTGCTGCAATATGAGTTTCCTATTCATTGTCTTTTGACTTACGATTTCTGACCTTTGTGGCCTAAAAAACCATTGCTATTTCAGGGTTACAAAATAAGTCGTCTCGGAGTTGGCCTAAACTTTGATGGTGTCAACACTTCGTGTAAGTATGCGATCCATGTGGAATTCATCCTAGTGTGAGGTGTCAGGTGGGCTCCAGCCGTAATTCTTCCCAGAGTTCCCTGTTGTC